TATTACAGTGTGTCCTTCTTTTCACTAGTTTTCTTTTAACACTTCTATAACAATATTAAGGGATTTCTTCTTTTTTCCTTTTATTTGTACCCCTGTGTGTATTTTCCTTTTAATATCTTTTGTTTTCTCATTCAATTAACACCTTAAAGTAGGGCCTGAGTTATCTATTTCTTATCCAACACAATTACAGTGTCTTGACAGGTTTCTCTCACTTATGAAGGGACTTGCCCCTCAAAAGTCATATCTAGCAGATGAGACACAGTATGTCAAATTAATGTCAAAAAAGCAGTGCTTCCTAATTTTCTAATTTAAACCAATTTGGACTTGATAATTTTAATAAAGCCAATCACTTTATTAAACAAATTGCAATCAATGTCATTCTCAAATTTTTGTTGTGTTGTTCTGAATATACTATTGACCTAAAAATTTCCAGGGGTGCGATTCTCTGGCACAATAAATTAAATAAACAGCTTTTAAATATATCTTCCTTTGACTCTTCTGTGTCTTGATATATATATGGAGTCACATACACAGGGAAAAAAAAAAAAAAAAGAGGAAAAAAACAACCAGAGTATTAATCTAGACTCTTTGTCCTTGTTCAGAGAGAAGAAATGGCTGGTCATGACTAATGTTATAGAACCTGTTCTCAAACAGAAGTAGCCAAATCATTGCAAACATGTGTTGGGTGAAAACAAGTTTGGTTGGCTCCAGACAAAGGCTTATTTTTTCAGCACAGATGGTTGAATGGTTGCCTCCTCCAAAGGGTTGCCCGCAAATGAAAGACAGATTTCTATTTCTAATCTATGCAAATATCTTACTCTGCAGGGCATCACAAAGACTAACTGTTTTGTGTCAGACACTGCAGATCCCAGGTGCTCTGAGAGATGTCAAAGCCCATCTCCACCTGAGATGCCTGGTAACTGGGATAACAGCGGATGACTGGAGAGTTAGTCATTAACCCGCTCCTAATGAATGCTGTTGGGGCCTTCTGTGAAACATTCCTCTGGAATCCTGCCCCACCACCACTGCTTCCCCTTGGCTGAGCTGCCTGGAAGGCAGTTTCAATATTCAGTTCGGACCTCAGATGCTGCTAAAACCTCCCAAGAAGGCTGAGATTCCCAAAGGCTCTTAAGGACTGTAGCATTTTTCACCTCATGTTCAGCTCATCTGTCCATCTCCAACACCACATAGAGAAAACTCAAGCATTTAAAAATATTATTCTGTCCAAACCAGATCTCCTTTACTCTCTAGTCCATAAGCCTACAACTCATGGCATGTCTTGCTGAATCACACCTGATTGTTGTCGGTGGCCCTCAACCTTCCCAAACAGATGTAATTCCTTTTTTTTCTTTTCTTCCTAAACAACTTTTCTTTTATTTCTTACATTTTTTTTTTCTCATGTTCCTCCATCTTCCCAGCTTAAATCTGTTACTCACTCTGACACCCCTTGGCACATTCCAGTTTTAGGGCCCCTTGGAGGCAACAAAAATTTCTGTAATGCTGCAAACATACACACACACTCACGCACAGACAAAATGCTGCATGCTAATCCAACTCCTAACTTTCAGCATTCTTTGCCATAAAGAGTTGGTTAGACCTGAAATCTATATAATCTAGTTCCAGTGCTTAAATCTAAAAATATCTTTCAAAGTTTAAAATTTTTTGTTAGTTTTTCTGATCAAATGTCAGCAGCACAGTTTGCTTCAAAATCCTGTGTTGGAAAACACTTCTTTTCCTCCTTATTAACCTTCATCTGAAATAAACCAGGCTAACTAAGCAAAAAGAAATTCTAAAGGAAAAAGAAAAGTCCTTCCTAAATCCCACACTTAATAACCACCACTACCAAAACTTTTTACTCTCTACGTCCCTCTTTGAAATTTAAATACCTTTTGTTTTAGTCTATGAATGCAAATATTGACAGTCAAACAATGCAGCATTAAGTTTATTTCCCTGGAAAATCTAAAACTGTAAAGAGTTTTAGAGATTAACTGATTCATTGATTCCTGAGGCTGGGTGAGTGTCAGAAACACCAGAGGATACTATTCATTTTAAACAATAACATCCTCTTGATATTCAGCCCTAGATATTACAACCAGACTTCTGGTACGGCTCTAGAATCATATTTATAATAAGTGCTCCAGGTAACTATGATATAGCAGGCCCTGGTCTTTTGAGAACCACTGATCTATTCCAACATCCTACCCAATATGGTGGTTCCCTCTACAGGATACCACATAGGCTACCTAGTGCACACAACAACTTTCACCGAGACCAGTGCTCTCACCCTTTTGTAAGTCTTGTTCCCTTTTTAGATGGCTTAGTTATTAGAAACTGTATTCCTACATTGAGCCAAACAGTCAGAGTTCTTTGGCTCCTTGGACTTCACTTACTTAGACCCTAATTTCGTGCTCTAGAGCTGACAAAGAATTCCCCATCCTACAAGAGTCTGTGAATATCTAAAGGCAGCTACTACTGTGCCCTTGTAAGACTTAATTTTTCTAAGCTTAAACAACCTTTTTCTTTTAACTTCATAAAGCATAATTTCTGAGTCCCTCTTTATTTCAACTGCTCTTTCTCACCAATAGGCCTTACAGGATAGGTCTGTCTAGACTAACAATACTTCACTTTTCTTACAGACGGAACTTTTTTCAAGATGCACTAACTTCTAGTCCATGTTTCACCCTCATCACTCATTATCTTGCACTTAATGGCCGGGAGCCAAGAATCAGCAAGTATTTATTAACTTAATGCTGTGTTCCTAGCACCGTGTAAAGTACTCAAGGAGGATGCAAAAACCAACGGAAATCATCACATTTTGAGGAGTTAATAATTTCTTGTACAGGAAGAACTTAGATATGTGAATTAACTTGAAAACAGGGAACAATGGTATGCAACAAACAGTGCTTTAAATGTCTATCACATGAAAGACTGAACACTAGGTTTTCTGGATCAGGCTGTAAGCTAACTCACAGCCTCTGTTTGCAATTACGCCATGTATTTACAATAGCTTTTGATTTTTCTTTTTAAAAAGGAAAGCAAGTGAAAAAAAGAAGACACAAGGTGGCTCATGCCTGTCATCCCAGCACTTTGGGAGGCCAAGGTAGAAGGATCACCTGAGGCCAGGAGTTCAAGCCAGCCTGGGAAATACAGCGAGACTTCATCTCTATGAAATTAGAAAAAAATTGAGCCAGGCTTGGTGGCACATGCCTGTAGTCCCAGCTACTCAGGAGGCTGAGGCAGGCAGATTGCGGGGGCCTGGAGTTTGTGGCTGCAGTGAACCATGATTGGGCCACTGCACTCCAGTATGGGTGACAGAGCAAGACACTGTCTCAAAATAAATAAGTAAATAAAAACAAATAAGCCAAATTAAAGAAAGAAAGCAGAGGCCGGGCGCAGTGGCTCACGCCTGCCATCCCAACACTTTGGGAGGCCAAGGTGGGCAGATCATTTGAGGTCAGGAGTTCAAGACCACCCCGGTCAACATGGTAAAACCCTATCTCTACTATAAATACAAAAATTAGCCAGGTGTGGTGGCAAGCGCCTATAATTCCAGTCACTCGGGAGGCTGAGGCACGAGAATCGCTTGAACCTGGGAGGTGGAGGCTGCAGTAAGCCAAGATCATGCCACTGCACTTCAGCCTGGGTGACAGAGCAAGACTCTGTCTCAAATTAAAAAAAAAAAAAAAAAAGCAGGATATTGCCTTAAAATATACTTAAAATTTTCAAGTGCATCCTTATATCAGAAATTTAAATTCTAAAAAATACACAAAAATCAGAATACTCTTCCTTCTTCAAAGCATGTCCCCGCATTGCTTCCCAAGCATTCATAATGACAAGGTCCGGGTAAAAGGCAAAAAGCAAAGGGTTTATGTGATTCCTTTTCCTACAAGAAATACCCATTTGATGAGGAGACTTCCCAGGTATTTTAATGGAAAACTCTTACCAATAAATCAACTATACTAACACACAAAAAAATGCACTTATTCCACTCACTGAACATGCTTTATCAACTTACACAAATCCCTCACTTTACAGATGAGAGGGGAAAACATCATTTCAAAGGCAGCACGCGATTTCTCCAAGCTAAAGCAGACACTGAGTAGCTGGGTGGGAACAATACCTGGTTCTCCCCTCTACTGCTGGCTTCTTGTCTCCTCCTATTTAGTAGGGACAACCATCAAAACTCTTGCTCTCGCAACATTTTCCTCCTTAACTTTACTCCCACTTTCAGTTACCTTTCCAATCTTCAAATTTGAAGTCTGATACTACATTTTGTTTTGGGATACTTTTAGGAAAAGGGTGGACAAAACAGAATTCATTTTTTTTTCCTTTTCTTTTTTTTTCTTTTCTTTTTTCTTTTTCTTTTTTTTTTTTGAGACAGGGTCTCACTCTGTTGCCCAGGCTGGAGTACAGTGGCATGATCACGGCTCACTGCAGCCTTGAACTTTTGGGCTCAAGTGATCTTCCAACCTCAGTGTCCTGAGGAGCTGGAACCAAAAGCACAAGACACCATGCCCAGCTAATTTTTATATTTTTTTCTTTTTGTAGAGACAGGGTCTCGCTATGCTGCCCAGGCTGGTCTCGAACTCTTGGCCTCAAGCTATGCTCCCACCTCAGCTTCCCAAAGTGTTGAGATTACAGGCATGGGCCACCACGCCTGGCCAGGTGATTACCTTTTTATTAAATTCTTGCATGCCTATTTTACTCACAGTCTCCAATGAGTATTTCCATGCTGTTAGAGACGAAATTCTGCCTGGCTCAGGATCCCTACTGCCTTACCAGCATTATAGAAAACAGCTGGAGTTAGCTACATGGATTCAACCAAAAGTCTAAAGCTGCAAGGCAATGAGTAAACAACCCCCAACTATTTTAACCTCTCCCCCACCACACACCCGCACTCACACCCACACACCCCTAAATCAACCAGCTCATCTACTTCATTGGAAGCTTCACAGTTAGTCAACACCCTTATATGGCACACAGGGGGAAAATGTACCTACCTTGTGGCCTCTTGCTGAAGCCATGACACATTTGGCACATAGAACATGACTCCAAAGAAAAGCAGAGGCTCATTAGCGAATTTGTCCAGATGTTTCTTCAGAGGTTTTTCCAGCTCCACCCATCGTGCTTGCTGGCTCTTGCTGAGAAACCAAAGGCCAAAGTAGTGTGTCTAGATAAAAGGGTAAAACAGCATCAGTTCATGCTCACCACAAGCATCCCAAGGCCACACACGAAACGAGACTCCAGCATGCTCTATCCCACCTTGGGTTCCCCAGCCCCTATACAAGATCCAGCTTTGACATCTGACTTTGGGACAAATTTAAAAAGACCACAACCACACACTACTGTAACGTACATGGAGTATCCAGATGCATTATCCCTACTCATTACTACTGTTTGTGCTTGTCGATACCCATGGGCCCATGTGAGGTAAAGGAGAGTCGCGCAGGGAAGGCACAGTGCTGACTTTTCCCCTGATATCTGAAGGCTGCCTTTTCTGTGTGCCTTCTGCCTGCTTCATGATCTCACATGGAGCACACTGGCAAAGACCAACACCGCTCTTGCACCTGCTGCAACGTAACTTATTACTCAGTTCCTAAGACAAAACCGCCTGCCAACTGAAAGCTTCTGCACTGTAGAATATTTTCATACAGTACCAGATTTTAACCGAGAATTTATTCGCTCTTTTCGTGTGCTTTAAAAAGTATCATCCTCTTCCACTTTATTATACACGAACTGCAGCAAATCTCTCCCCATATCAAGCTTTGAGAGAGGAAGGATCGCCTCTTCACAGCTGCCGCAGGAGCCCCTGGTGGCTGCTCTTGGCAGATTATGGTGGGATTTGTTAGATGAAAGTGAGATTTTCACCCTTAGACTTGAAGCCTAAACCAGTTTGGTTTTGAACAACATGCTAAATGATTAAAACAGGTACTTTTATGCACCCAATCCCATCTTTTATATTAATTCATGCTAGGATTTCAGGATTAGCACAACAATCACCAAAAAATAGATCACTGCTTTTGAAGATTCTTTTATATTTCAATTATAGCCTAGAATGGTTTACAGCACACCTGGAAACCTGCCTTCAAAAGAATGTTTTCATTACAATGTTTAATTTCCAAAGGCATTCTTATGCCGATGTTCCCACTCCAGCTGGCTGCCACCTCAGCATTACCACAGATCAATCCTGCCACAGCTCCACCAAAATCTCTCATGAAGTTTTGACTCTGACTTCACCAGAAAATCAGACGTGCCCTTGCCTACATAAAGCTGCAGACTCAGATGCTTTAAAGATATTTTAAATGGATTTACTTTGAGATGGGGGTAATGATTTGATCAGCTTTCCCCCACGATGTTCCAAAGGACAAGTTCACATCAGAAATCTATGCATTTCTTGAGCAACAAAATGTCAACAACCAGAGCCAAGGTTATATTTCCATCAACTGAGACAAACTTACTTGGATGAATTCTGCCCCTATTATTCATTTCCTAGCTCCAGTGAGTCCATTAGCTGTTCCAAGCTGAGTGATGAGATAGAGGAAATGAAATGTGGCTGAACAGAAAGAAAACAGACTTCGAAGTCAGTCCATCTCCCACCTTTTGCACTGTCTCAGTAACTTTACACAAGTCATTGAAATGCCTTCTAGACTCTCACAGTTTTCTCCTCTGTAAAATGGGGATGATGGTTACAACTTTCACCCACAGGCTCTGAGAAGTATAAATGAGATAATGCCTGTCGATTACCTGCATGGCACTCGGTAAGTAACTAATTCACAAGTGGTACCTTCCATTGCTGCTGCAGCTGCAGGACTACTACCCCTGTTACCACCATCCGCACCACTGCCACCGCCATCATCATCAGTAAATGAAAGCAGGTAAACCTCATGAATCTTTTTCATCAGCACTACTGACATCTCCGTGAACCACAGAATTAGGAAACAGGTTATCTGGGAGTCAATGAGAAAAAGCAGGCAAAGGTAGAAGCGGGAACATCTATGAATAACGTAAATATTTAAAAGATGTAAGGAAATAAAAATCACAAAGCTATACCTCCACTAAGACTTTGAGGCTCTCATGATAGGTGGTAATGGGACACTGGAACATCACTCTGACGCTATCCTCTGAGATCTATGATGTAGGCTTAAGCTACCCTAAACGTGAAGTCATTTGGGTACTCAGTTCAAGACATTTATCTGAAAAGGGTCCAAAGTAGTTCTGCATTATACTGAATTCCTGTACGGAATACAGGGCTGTATGAGGGTATTCCATGGCATTTTGGATGCCGAGGAGTGAGTCTCCATACAATAAATTAGGTAATATGTGTAATTAACATGATATACAGCAATTATTAAAGCTGGAAAAGAGCCCTTTTTATAGCATGAGTGGAGAAACAGGGCAAGCTTCACAATTGCTTAACAGGCTAACTATGATTTATCATCTTTCACTAAAAGCAGTTGTGACATTTGGGAGATATTTTTATAGTCCACACTTCATTCAAATTAGTAATATTCAAATTATAGAGGGCCACAGTAACTGCATAAATGTTATACAATCGATTTTGAAAAACGGTTAAAATTTTTATTTGTGTCTATCTGTGCCTCGAAAGCTATTTTAAATTTCCTTTTCTCATTCCTATCCATCCAGATCATTAAACCAGACCTGACCTCCACCCCAGAAAACCCTCAGAGAAAGAATATTCCATGGAGTACACACACACGAACATGTATGTGCACACACACAACACACACAAAATGCACACTGCAGCTGCACATACACATACTCCTGTACATACACGCATACGGGTATGTTGAGAAGGAGGATGATGAGGTACAAGAGAAACAACAGTAAGGCAATAATCTTGAGCCAGAGCTCTAAATAACAAAGTAAACCACTTCTAATGGAAAAACCTAATTCATGGCATAAATTCATCACTGCTGTGGTACAGCACCTTTCAGAGGACACAGAATATTTCAGAGTGACTCACCAGGTAATTATCCAGTGAAATAATTACATAACTACTGAAGAAATGGGGTGTCCAGTGCAGGGCAGAATTGGGGGAGACAGGTAATCTGAAGGACAGAGTTTGTACATACTCACAGCCAGAACATCCTAACTTTAAAACTGTCAAATTTGGTCCTCTAACAAGAAGAACAGTCCATTTCTGAGATCCCCATCCCCACCCTAACTTTTGAAGCTATGCCCAAAGTAACTTTTTGCATTCCCACCCTTCTCCTCCCGTTCTTCCTCTAGCTATCTGCCTACTCTGGAGTAGAAAGACCCTGCCTCAAAAGTACAATACAGCACACGTTTATTCTCCCACATCTACACAGTGCCTCACAGGAAATGGAATCACAGCCTAGGCTCTCATTTCAACTAGCATGTGCACCAATCAACTTCCTGTGTATTATCCAAGGAACTACTAATCCTGTCAAGCCCAGCTGAGACCCCACCAGGCTGGTTCGTGGTTCACTTGCCAATTTAAACTCTAGCTCAATTTTGAAAGCTGAGCTTAGCTGCTAAACATTGCCACATGGTTGAAGAAAGCATGGTGGATGATTGCAAACAGAAACCACCTTCTCCATGACTCAAAGAGGATCCCACCATATTACCTGAGTAAATGCCTGAAATATGTGTTCTGTTTATATCTCAGGCACAAAGAGTAAGCCAGGCTCGTTTAATCCTCATGATACCTCCTCTGGGAGAGGTATGAATCCCCATTTTATTGCTCTAGTTTTCTTAAGAAAACTAGAACACACAGCTCTGGTGCCATGAGTTCTGCAATAAGTTTACTGCAATGATGAGAAAAGAAGACAGAAGAACCAGTCCTCAGGGACAGGAACCACATCTCTGAACCAGTTACAAAAAATGCACTACAATGAAACCAAGTAAAGCCGCACTAAAATGTCATTTTTATGTGAGCAGCTTCCTCATTTATTTGGTTTGGGGAATTGCATTTTAACACAGGAAACATACATTTAAGTACATACTAAAAAATCGGCTAGTTTCTTCAGTGGCAGATTGGTATGTGGATACTATAGTGTCAAAATGTCCACCTTTTGGTATTATGGAAAGATTCTGAGACTAAGGGCCCTTAAAAGTAGTTTTGGGGACAGGTGGCATATAGGAACTCTCTATACCTTCTGCTCAACCTTGCTGTGAACCTAAAACTGCTCTAAAGAAAGAAAGTCTATTAAAAAATACTTTGGGATACTTTTGATTTGCTTGTTCATTTATTTGTATAGAGATGGTATAATCCCCCACATTAGTTATTAAAAGGGAAATATTTTTTGAGGGTTTTGTTTTTCCAGTTTTGTGACCAATGGCACAGACTTTAATGCTATTTTTAAGAGGTTTAGATGCAGTCTTGGCAATTACCAAGGATTAAAGCCATGATCTTATCTCAAGTATTTTGAAGAGTTACTCATCCAGAAGCAAAAGTTTAAAGTATCTTGCATTAAGTTTTAATAGGTTGCCTATCTTACCCAGTATTTCAGCTGTAAATTAAGAAACAGTTGGTGTGCTTCCACATAAAATATATGAATTACATATCATACAAGCACGAACAGTTTCACTGAGGCATGGAAAATACTTCAAAAGATGACTATAAGCAGACTCTGAAATGGCACTTCATGCAATTACATTCCAATGGCTTTGGAAAATAAGCCACCGTACATCAGCTGGATAACAGTGGAAAAGAACTTGTGCTTAATCAACCTCTACTCTGGGTAGGTCTGAGATTTCTATAACTGACACATCTATAATTAACAACTGCACCCTCTTCATTTTCCTAGCCAATCTCTTTGTAAAAGTACAGGAAAAGAAACCGCAGAATAACACAGACCCAAGAAGAGAGTCCCATAGCCAAGAAAAACTACTCTTCTGAGACTGCACAACTCACCTAGAATACACAGAAAGATGAAGACATACAAGTTAAGACTGGCGAATAGTTCACGTACAATCTCTATACCTAGAAAATGGAGATGCCAGTGCCATTACATTCTAGGGCTGACATTAAGCTAATAATGTTTCACATTGTCATTTTTACAAAGACAAAAAGCAATACAAAACTTAAACATGAGAAATCTCCCCCAGCAGTCTACTCTTCAGTTGATTCTTAATCAGTATTGATTAGTTTAATCCTTTGCAAATACACATATATACTGATGTGAT